GTGTGTATGTATGCATGTGTATACCTATGTCTGTATATGTGTGTGTATGAGTGTGTGTATGTGTGTGTATATGGTATGTATGTGCGAATTAGTATTTGAATAGTTCGTAAACGGAAATATTCCTTTTTCTTTTTCGGTTAGCAAATGGTACCAAATGGTACACCAAAAAGCACATGTGTTTTTTGGTGATGCGATTTTGCAGTTCGGTTTTTTTTTGTTCTTTTTTGCACGGAAGAAGCAGTACTGAGTTGGCACAGTTATTGTTTGCACATGCTTCTAAGATGCAGCTGCACCGAACGAACGGGGACAAGGGGACGAGGAGGTTGAATAGTCCTTGGATTTATTCGCGTTTTTTAGGAGGGTGTCGGCGGCAACCACCGATTGTGCTTGGCGTGCCGGCGGCGAGAGGTTGTTGTACCGGGTGGCGCCGCGCGGCGTTGCAAAGAAAAAAAAAGCGCATCCAGGCAAATGATAACAATAACAACAACAATAATAATAATAACAGTAGCAGTAGTAGTAGTAGCAGTAGCAAGGAGTCATTTTGTCTTTTGATGGCATATGGGAGGAGGAGGGAACGAGGCAACGGGGAGGGTGCTGCGGATAATGCGGCAAAAAGGGGTAAGTGACCGGAGGAGTTGGTGCCAGCCGGGCAACTACGGGCAATCGGCCCGATCCGTGCTACCCTGTACCAATATACCGCACCACCGCCCCGGGTGCATCAACCAGAGCAACAACAAAACGGGTCGTACACACACACACACTCCTGTGCACATCTGTGCCCCAGTACCACTTCTTGCAGGTGTGCCCGCCCGCCCAACGAGGGTTTTATTAGTGTGGGTGTGTTCGGTGCGCCCGGTGTAATTTTGTTCATAATCGTTCAGCGCTCGACCTCGGCCCCTAATGATGTGAGACGATGCTACCCCATCCTCCTCCTCCAATTCCTCGCTACTCATTGGTAGTACTCATTTTTTAATGGTACTCATTTTTGAGGTACCACCAGCAACAACCGAAACAGCAGCAGCAACAGCGGCAACAACAACAACAACAACAACAAAAGCAACAACAACGACAACGAGTAATAATAGTTCAT